AAATTACTGTTTCTAATTTTATAATGAGTAGTTTCTGGTGAAATAAAGGCAAAATTCTTCTCCAGATGTAAGTGTTCCAGTGTCTTAGTGCAGCAAATGGGAAGAGCTACTTAGAAATGGAAGAGCATATGATGATACTTTCCTACTTCTTTCCTGACAGAGCATCGGACAGCAAGATCTTGACTTAAGCCTAATGATAAGCAAAGGAGTAGCTTTGCAGAAGTACATGCTATTTATAGTTATAATTGCTGAATCCAGCTTCTTTACATGTTAATAAGATAAGAAATTAATTATTCTCCTAATGTTCACATTCAGAGCTTGTGTTGGGTATTTGTCAGCTATCCCCACATTAAGTTGACTGTGCTTGCTTTTCATTATAACTATGCTGAGTTCTTTAGTGTCAAGTTTAACAAAAAAAGTCCTTAAATTAAAAATACAGATTGCAATGTTTTTTTAGGAAGTCCGTCACTTTCCATTAGTAGTGAAGCTACATTTCATCTCTGTGCTTCCTCTGTTGTTCCTTTGCCTTCTGTTAGACTTCCTGACTCTTCTCTGTTAAAACAGAAACTGTGAAAAGCAAATGGTTTTATTCAATATGTGGGGTAGTTTCAAAAGGAGAAGCCAGAGGCTAATTGTTTCATAATTACATATTAATTTCAAGTTTACACTGCTGGCTTACGGGACAGTTTTTAAAAAAGTGCTGGGAGTTTAGTATGTATTTAATGAGATCCTGTCTACCTTCCTGTTACAAATAGGAAAAGGGAAAAAAACCAGTAAGATTTCCCATAATTCAGGCAACTGGTAAGCATTTTTATTTACTTGCTAAGGAAGGGCTCAGTTACAGAAAGACCACTCACCTGAAGGTTGGAGTTATAGGGAGGGAGCAGAAGAGATAGACCCTTCAGGTTTTATTACGACTACACACCAAGAGAAGATAGAGCTATGATCAGTGTACAGTGAGTATCTGTCTTCTCTTTAGGGCATGTTAACTACTTTATTTTCTTACACTTTGCTAGTATTGTCCATACTATAAGTGCAGTTCATGGCACTAAGAAGAGGCAGAAATAGTAAAAAAACCCAACCTTAGTGTGATGATGTCCGTTTACTAGGTTTTTTCCCCTCCTCTGGGCCCCCTTGAGTTTTCAACTATGGTATTATTACTAGGTCTATGCATAATAAAGTTATAAAAGAACTGGAAAAAAACCCCAAACCCCAGACTTAACATTCAGTTACAGATTTTGGATTTCCATGGTTTGATCTTTAGATGTCAAAACTATGATGTTAACATGACATATGACTGCAGTAACAGCCCTGTAATTTATGATGTCAGATACAACTGACATTTTTCATTCAGAGGATTCGTGGGGATAATACAAATGCTAAAATAAGCAAGATCTGTAGGAAGAGGCAATAATTTTATTAGACCAGCTGATAGAACCAGAGAAAACAGACAAGCTCATGGACAATTCCTTCATGACATCATTGCATCTAAGATTAAGGTTTTCTTCCAGTGAAATAGCATTGACTATAGCAGTCATTTAGTAATATGTTATGTACGTCATGCAGTGAAGTGAAAAGGAATTGTCTTAATATCTTTACAAGGCTTTGCAAGACACTTGTTAAATACATGAATGATAGGAAATCTGCACTGAATCCCTGCAATTGACTGATCTGTCCTTTTAAAGTGCTAGCAGTACCATCTTACTACATATGTCTTTTGTGAAGATGTATTTGTCTGTGGAGCATTACAATGTGGCATACATTCAGAGAAGATAACCGGTGATACCCGAAGTCTTCTTTCCACACTTCTGTTGTAAGGGCAGAACATAGATAGCGTTGTGTGGTCTTTTCCTTGAGAAGGATCGTGGAAATTCATAGACCTGTCAGTTATGGATCTTAAGGAGAGTGCCCTTTTTCTTAACTCATTTGGACAGCTTGTCATCCTTTGCCAAGTCCATAGAAAATGTATCTGCAGCCTTCCTGATGGCTTAATCCCTGCTGTTCGCTTCATCCTGCAGATGGAGGTGTGGTAAGGGCCATTCTGTAGTGATGTATACTCTGAAATAATCCCTATACTGAGATAGTTTCTGTTCCTCAAGCGCTACCATTTGTTGCGCAAGACTTTACTGTCTTACTTGCCCAATATCATCAGCTGGTATGACTGTACAGGGCAAGATCCTCGTACTGTAAGAAATAATTCTACTTCAGTGGGTTCTGGCAATATAATGTGTGTTTTTTATCATTTCCCACAATTCTCTGACTTGCAGTTAATTTTGTTTAGGACCGGGTAATTTAATACAAAATTAGCAAGGGCAGCAGTCTACTGCTGTTGCCTCTTTAAAGCCTGTTCTCCTAGATTCAGGAATAGATTCTGATTTATCCTGGCTCTTCCTGGAAATATGGTTAACTGGATGACTTTTAGAGGCAAGTGGCTTATGTATGAAATGAAGCTTTGACTATACTAAAGAATACAGTGAAGTGAATGAGGCTGGGATAATCTGGTAGTGTTTTATTGACTTCATACTGACATCCTGAACTATGTATTTTTTCCTAAAGCAGGTGAGCATTTCTTTCAGTTCTGTTAGACTGCACATATTGGCCGCTTCTGTAAACTTCTTAAGGCTGTAATTATTTCCTTTGATACTGCATTATTTTTCCTGAAGCAGCTCTTTTACAGTTCTTCTACACTGCCTGCTTAGTAGTATCCTTTTTTGGCATCCCAGATTGGCTTTGAATTAATTGAACTATCTCTGAAATCATGGAAACCTGCTTCATCTCTGACCTGTCTGTTGAGTGGAATCCTTAGTACATACCTCATCAGGGAAGGGTTTAAATCACATGCCTCAAATCAAGTCTGAAAGGATTTGAGAGACATTTATAAATTCATAATATGAAAAAAGTGATTCTGTGGAATGCAGTTCGTATAATACAAGACATACTCTTCTTACATTGGAAATACAATATTTTTTTCTTTGTTGTATATGTCTCCTGGTTTTTTTAATGATATGCAGCACTTAAAGAGTTAATGTTTTAGCCCATAGGATGCCAGAAATTGTTTTAGGCATGGTATCAATGTAGCTTTAGTCTACGTGCCTTTTCTGCTTCATCTTGTTTGGCATCCCTTTCAAACAGAAAATGAAAATGTGCTCTGGGTCTAGTAACAATGCAAAACAGTTTTCTTGAGCTTTCCTGGAGGAAGGGTCATAAATTTATCCAAACCAATTTATTTATTTTGTCTTTGCAATTCTGTGTTATGTATACAGAAAAAAATCAGCATTATAGATTAAAATATTGCAGCCCTCTTGAAGGGTTTCTGTGAAAAGCAGGAACACTTACTCTAGAGAAGTAATTTCATTGTGTTTTCTGTGCACTTTTCTTACTGGGAAGTTTTCAGTAGCTTATAAATTTACTGTGAAAGAACACTGCTAATTGAGTCATGACACTGTTTCACCTTCTGACTGTCACATTAGAAGATACCATGTGTTAATGAGTTTAGGTAAATACAATTTAAACAGTAGTTTGTAAGTTTACATTCCCTTCTCTTTTTCCATCAGCTGTAAAAGTGTAGTAGTTCCCATTGCCTTTCTGTAAGGCCTTGTTTAGAGAAGAAGTCTGTACAGAATGTTGAGAAGAAAACATGGTCTGATTAACAATTAGTCTAAGGACTTAGGTTTTATGCTGAGCTCTGTTACATTTCACTTTTTCTCCTTTCTGAATGAAATCCTGGCACCACTGAAATCAATGTGAGTCGTAAGAACTGACTGCAAGAAAGCAAAGGTTTTACTCCTCTGCATTAGTTTCTTAATCTATAAATTCAGCTATTTATTTTCACCCACCATTCCAGCATGCAGTGAAGTTTGATAAATTGCTTGAAGATTCTGTGGTGACATAAGAGACCAAACCATCAACTTCTACAAAATGGTATTTTCTTAGGGTTTGTTTTTGGGTTTTTTGTTGTTGATGGTGGTGGTTTTTTTAAAGTTCATACTATTCATGCTTACGTCGGTCTCTTTAAAATGCAAAGTAATGCAAGTAAAGATACGTTTATTGCAAAACTGTTGAGTTATCTGACAGATTGTTATATGGCTCAGCAACAGCAGCCTCTGCAGGGTTCACTTCTTTGCTGTTGTTCTCTGGAGCCCCATTTGGTGGTGAAACAGGTTTTTTTAGGGGGCTGCACCTTTAAATAATAATAATAAAAAGAGAAGTTAATTCCTTTGCTTTGAACTCAGTTTGTTCTCACTCTGTATTAACCACATCATGTCGGCCTAACAGTTCTTCAGAGCTGTATCAAATTATAACATAATTTTACAGTGACAGAAAAGTGTTACAAATAGAACTGTAGGCTTCACTTCCATTTCAGCTGTAATGCAAAGTAGTTTTCAGGAGTAATTAAGCAATTAAAGTAAAGGCTAACCCAATGGTGTTAGAAACAAATTTAGCAATTTACAGATTTTTAAGATTTTATGTCATAAGCCTTTGGTGTTGATGAAGTGTTCTCAGGTTTGAAATTTACTTGCAACTACTTTAAAGCTGACCTCTTTCTAAGAATTATCTAAATCTGCATTTAAAGTTTAGGAAAGGCCTATAAGCTAAATAATGTTCTTAAACCTTGAACTGGTTCTTATGTCTTGGTGTGGTATACTTGTCCCTACCATGAATGATATGCATTTCAATACCCACCAGTTTGTTGGCTGGTCATAATAACTGTGCATACTTGGACTTTACAAATGTACCTGTTACAGCTTTCATGTTCATGACCTGTGTTTTAATTTAGTTTAAACCGCTTGAATTTGCAAAAGAAAAATGGCTGCATATTTAATTAACTGTTTACTTTTTAATTGTAATTTAATTACTTGAACCTTACATATTGGTAGGAAGGTGCAAAACATGAAATGGATCCATTTACCAAATAAAGTGAAGTTGCATTAATTTATTTCAAAAAAATTTAAAGATTTATTTTCATGACCACCAGAATTCCACTGTCTTTTTCATTCCAGAATCGAATGGAAGAAAGCAAAGCACTCTTTAGGACAATTATCACATATCCATGGTTCCAGAACTCTTCAGTCATTCTGTTCTTAAATAAAAAAGATCTCTTAGAGGAGAAAATTATGTACTCCCATCTAGTTGATTATTTTCCAGAATATGATGGTAAGTATAATGACATCAGAGCTCACACTCTATTTACACTGCAGTAATGACAAATTGTAATAGGCTTATCCAAATGCTAGACAGATAGATCCTTTGATATATTTTGCTCTTTAAACAAATAAAGAAAGGTGCTTTGCCATTTTTAATCATCTAAATTTTTAAAATATTGTTGAACTCTTGTGGGATTTTTTAGACTGCTAGGATTTCATTTTATACTGTAATTAATTGTGGGTAGGATGGCAGAACCTTTCATTGGAAATTGTTACTTTTAGATGAGTGTTGTCATATTAGCAGTGAACCACATTCTGTCCTTTTTCATGAGTTAGGGTGAGGGTTTAAACAGAAGTATAGAAGCTAAAAAGAAATAAAAATGCACTCCTTGCTTTTACACATTGTCTCCCATATGCTTTTTTTTGAGGTTTGGTTTTGTGCAAGGTTGAACATTGAGGGGAAGTGTCATAACCTCTCTGTGGCACTCAGAGAAACCAGTACCATTCCTTCCACCCTTTTGTTGTACTTCTGTTTTTCTTTTGTTTTAATTTTACATTGTTTATGTGAAGCTTAGTGTGCTTGTCCATAAAAAAATTATGTGGATTGTACAGCTGTTTCTACTAAAACTGTACTTTCAGAAAGTTCTCCTGAGGTAAACTGAGTGGAGGCCTTGGTAACAGAGAAGAATCAAACTCATATAATAAGAGGTCTAAAGAACTAAATGCTCCTATTTTTGAAAAAAAAGAAAACGTGTTTTGTCCTGCCAGGGAGAGAATACCAGATTGAAAGCTGAATTAAATGTTAAATCTCTCATGTTCAAATATGGAGAGTAATAATAGGAAAAATTTACATTTTGTTTCCTGTTTAAGAGGAAGGAAACAGCGAACAGCCTGCAGTATCAGACTGTATTATTTATGAGTCAGTGTAAGTTTAGTTTCGTAGTGCTATACAGAAAAGAACTGGCAGTTGAATAGAAATATGCTTATTCTTTCGAGTTTACTTCATATGACAATTCCCCTAGATGACATCCTGAAGGTGAGAAGACTCTGCAGTCTGCTCTGTTATCACCACTCAAGTGGTGATAAAGCCCGTGTTAAATGCTTGTCCAGAAACACCAGAAAAAATTCAACCACTCAGCTCAGAAAAACCCTATTTCTCCTGTCACTTGCCATTGGCGAGGGAAAAAAAGATTATGGACTGGTAGGGCTGTTGGAGTCAAGACCTGGAAGTCTTCAAGAGTCTTTTGTCTGTTAGTTCTGTAGGTCTTCTGGATTTAACTCTACAGACAAGGTTATGGTTTGATTTGATTTCTTCTGGTGACAGCGTGCGGTCTGTGGCTTGCAGATGTCACCGTGTGGTCCCCTCTTCAGTCCCAGCACACTGGGGATGTGGGAGCAGGAGGATTTGAGGAAGGGATCAGAATTAGCTATTTTACAGCTGAATCACTTCTCCCATCTGTTTGCCTGCACGAGGGAGAAAGTAGTGTAGGGATGAGCCCTGCTAGCCAGGATGGCAAATTGCACTGATTAAATTAAGCTAAGCAGTTCTGCTGCACGGTGTATCGTAACAGCATTGGAAGGGGGACTGAGGCATGCTCAGGGGTTAGTGTATTGCATAAAGACATCCTTGTGTGGCTAGTACTATAAGTCTGACTCAGACTGGAATGAAGAGCTGGGAGAGGGAGAGAGGACAAAGACAAAAAGGGGCCCTAGTTGGGAGGAAAAGAAGAGAAAAATACTGATGTAGTACTTCTTACATAGATCTTAAATGTATCATGTAGAGACACTTTTTGAAAACTGATTAGGGAGCAGTGGACAAGAAACTGACTGATTTATATGGCAGTTCTTTTCCAAGCCTCCATATTATTTAGATCACAACCACTTTGCAGTCTAAATTTAACATGGATTCACTCAGTTTTTTTCTGAATTCCTGCCGGTCATTAATGTTTTTCCTAACCCCAATTTTCCATACTTGAATTTCAGTCAGATGAAAATTTAAATTACATGTTAGTCAGTAGAGGTGTGATTAGGTAAGCAAATTGGGATACAGGCTTTGAAAATTGCAGTGCAGTAGCCTTTGAGAGCATGCTGTGTCTAGCTGCTATGAAACTGTTTAACAAGATTCTAGGAAGTTCTTTAAAACAGTAAGTCTTCTATTTTGAAGAAATCATTGTCTTTGAAAGTCTAAGAGTTTTCTTCACAAATACTGCAAATTTATTTGTGGTAGTGTGAGACCTACTGTTGCTGCTGTTTCTGTAACAGTCTGAGTGACCAAGCCAAAGTAGACCCTGTTGTGTTTTAGAAGCTGTGGAAGTGTTGAACAGCCCTCTGTCCTGCTTCAGAGAGCTTGTGATCTGGTTACATCCCTAAATCTCAGGAAATGTGTAATCTGTATGTGTGTATGTATGTACATACATGTTCATGTGCATATACCCATATATTGCAGAATCTTACTCCCTCTCTACATAGATTTGCAACACACCAGAAAGTATGTGATTTCTCTTCCATGCATTCCCTACCTAAATTTTATGGAGTTACCCAAATTGGAAGTATTAGCAATTGTAAGCTTGAAGTATTAAAAATAAGGTTTATTTTCCAATTGTTGAAAAATATGTGGGCTTGGACTAACCCCCAAAGTACAGATTTCATAACTACTGAAGGACAGAGCTACAAATAACAGCTGTGCACTGGTATTTATAATGCCATGTAACACGACCAGGACTAGTGAAGAGAATAGGAGGAGGAGGCAGCACAGAAAACATGCACGTTCTGTAGAAACCCACGTTTCAGAAACAGGAGAGCAAGGGAATAATGGCCTTCAGAAATGGCACTGGAATAATGGCACAGAATTCAACAGCTTGTGGCTAATGTTCTTGCTTCTGCACTGCTCTTTTGGCTGTGAATGTGAATGAATCCTCACTGTTCCAGGCTGGAAGTCATTACTTTACCTTCTGTCTTCTGTAAAGCTGAACGTGTGGTTTGGTTACATAGACTCTGCATCCTTCTGAGAATTACAACCCTAATTTAGATCTGACGGGATCATTATCATATATAATTTAGATAACAAGTGATTTGTTAGAACATGAGCCTTTTGCAATCAAACAGCTTCAGCTGGAGAGCGTGTGTATTTTATTATCACTAAAGTAAATGAAGTTCTATTGGTAATAGTGTCAGACCAGTTCAGGATATAGTTTCATTATGCTACCCATTAAAATCCTCATAAACTAGTAAATGTTGCAGTGCTAAAAGAACTTAAGTATAATTTAAATATAGTAGGTGTAGACTAAACATTCACCAATTCTATTAACATTTTAAAATATTTATTAGTCTAGCTAATTTTTCATTTTTTATTCCATGCAGTTATAAATCATATGTTTTAAACATCATCTTACCAAAGAATGAGGATAGTCAGCAGAAAAAGAGCAGCTTTGACATAATAGCTCTAACTTGATGAACTTTTGAAATTTCCTTCTATCTTTATTTTTCATAGTTCCTACAAGGAAAAAGGTAGCCACTGTATGATACTATTGATTAGTAAAAAGTTCCCTGTCTTTTACATGAGGACCACAGACTGACCTTTTCTTGTTTTCTGTTAAAGAAGTTCAGATATTGAATCAGCTTTAAGAACACTGACTTTCTCTTCTTAATCATCAGGACCACAACGGGATGCACAAGCAGCACGAGAGTTCATCCTGAAGATGTTCGTAGACCTGAATCCAGACAGTGACAAAATTATCTACTCCCACTTCACATGCGCTACAGACACAGAGAATATCCGCTTCGTCTTTGCTGCTGTCAAGGACACGATCCTACAGTTAAACCTGAAGGAGTACAACCTGGTCTAACTGTGCCTAGGAGGCCCTCCAAAACAAATTTTGTGTGATTAAAGATATACAAGAGGGACTGTATAATCTGTGAAAACAATTTGCGTAATACTAATTTATTGCCGGCCTGGACTCTGTGAATGTCCACAGAGTTTGTAGTTAATATTATGATTTTATTTAAACTATACGGAGGAAAACCAAAAGATGCTGAAGTACATTCACAGCACATTTCCTCATTTTTTAGGCAAAACCTTGTGACTCAATGTGTTTTAAATTCTCAGTTGTACATTTACAAAAGATAGCAGTTTTTTGCTATTGAAGCAAAATCAAGCTGTTTTCCTCTTTCCCTGACCCTTACTCTCTCCTTCCTTCCCCTTCCCACTTATCTTTTACAAGGTACAATGGCCTTTTTTTTCCCAGTTGCATTCCTGGGTGAAACATTTTCTGTTGAGTGATTTGGTCAGGAAAATACTATCATCAGAACTTAAGTCATCAGTCATTCTAATTTTACAGTATGTACTTTCTCTGAAGGATCAAAAGTATTGATACTGTGATTTTTAAATTCTCGACATGGGTGTCTTCATTCTGTCTTCACTTTTGGGACTAGAATATTGGGATTGCAAAATAGAATTACAATTGTCTAAGGATATTAAATTTAACCATATTTTCACAGTTCAGAAAGGTGCACAGAAGACAGTAATGAAATAATTAAGACACAACCTGGGATGTACGTGGAATATGTTAGAATCTCTTTTTAATTGCCATGTGCCATTTTTTTCTCTCTTCTTTTATTCACAAATGCCAAATAGAAATGTCATAGACACTACATTTTCCCCAGTGGCTACAGCCTGAAACAGTGGGTTTTTTTCAGTTGTGTGGGGTTTTTTTTCTTAAGTTAGAGCTTTTTTAAGTGTTCTTTTTCCACAGTAGAAAAATTATTTTTATTGTATAAAATTAATGTTGCCAAATCTGGCTTTTTATAAAACCAATGCTCTTGAAACATAAAATACTGATTGAAATGCCAAACTGATGGGTTGGGAACTGACCTGATTGAGTCAACTGCCAAATGATGAACAAACAGTTTCAGCTCATACGTTCCCTTTTTTAGAAAGTGTTCCATTTTCTAATGCCAAAACCAACAGTGTGAATGAATATGCTACGAGGTGCACCATGCACATGCATGTGGTCTACTAATTTAAAGACAGTTTAAATCTCTCCTTATGTCAGATACGGCATGAGATTGTTTTCTGTAATAATATCAAGGCACCTGTAGTTGTATAAAAAGAAACTATTGATGACAGATCACGTTCCGGAACCTTTCTTGATAAGGTTGCTTGTTAACTAACTGATTCACAGACATTTGATAGGCTTTCATGCAAAATAGCCTCTCTCAATGTTCTTTAGAAAAGATTTATTAATGTAAATGAAACAGTGAGAAAATCATTCTTGAAATTTAAATGTGCAATTTTTTAACAACAAAAATGCAGCACACATTGATGAGCCTTTATTCTGCAGCTTAGGTTGAAAGGTGTTTTTTGACCAGGTGCATGATTGCTAGCAAACTACAGAAAACTCAGAGTTCAGACATGTAATTGGATTGATTATCTGCAATGCCAAGTAGCACTAGAGTGCACTTAACACAGAAATTGCTGCCTCATAGCAGCAGATGGGAGGTGGAAAAAAATAATGGCTTGTTAGTTGATTACCAAAGTTAACAATAAATACTAATGAGACGTTTTTCATCCTTAACCCTCCCAACTCCAAAACAACAATAAGAAGAACAGTTGCTATTTTTTGCTCCCTCTTAAAACACCTTGTAATTTAAAACTGGTTGTAGGTATAGTGCAATTATGAATGCTATAATCATTGTACATACATCTATATATATATATGGCAGCATCCATATTGGCTTTGTAATCATTAATTTTTGGCAAATTGAATGTGCTGTATTGATATGTATCTATGTAATTGTATTGTATGTCTTATAGCTAATTCACATTTTAAATAATGTTATTTTATTTACTTTTTTAAGAGAGAAGAATGTAAATTTTGTCAGTTTATTTCTGACTAGGGATTTGTTGTTGTTTTTTATTTACAAAACAAAAAAAAATTACTATAGTACAGAGCGGTACTAGCATCGTGCTGTATAAAATCATTTGCACATTCCTGAGTAGAAGTAAATTGGAGACACCCAGACAGAGGCCATTCAAAACAATGCTTAAATCTTGTCAGGGCTTTATACAGGTGTAGAAACCAGTCTTACTAGAAGAATTTAAGCCATTACATCTAGGATTGGAACATAAGCTTTTAAATACAAATTTAATTTATATTTGGCAGATTCACATTAGGTTACTTTTATAATAGGCTTTATTAGAAAACTAAATTTAGACATATTTCAAACCATTGTACATAAGTACAAATGGGTATATGCTGTTGACCTAAAAATACCATGAAAAAATACAGAACATCAGATCAGTCAAACAGTCTTTCAGAAACTGCAGAAACTTTAGATATAACAACAACAACCAAAAAGTCACTATTGTTAACGATTTTAAGGAGTTAAAGCATTTTATTTAATAAAGCTAAAGCAGGTAGATCTAGGTTATAAAAAGTGACACTGACATTCTGAATAGGGGATCAGAGCAGTGACTCTTACATACAGCATTACAAAATTGGTCCTGATTCTTGCTATACACACAACAGAGTTTCTGTTTTCACAGTTCCACTGTTGATAATATCCTTTCTTTTAACCTGGGAATACATTGCCCACGCTGGATTCAGTGCTATGAATGGAACTGTAAAAAAAAAAAAAAAAAAAAAAAAAAAGACAGTGGTGTCTAACAAAGGTTTGAGTTTGTTTGTTTGTTTTTTAATTTGTCTTGTTTTGTTATGGGGTATTGGGTGGGGGAGAAGGAAATGTGATTCTAAGTTTTGTATAAAAACAAAACAGAAGTTTACTCATGCTTTATAGTTATATTGTGATTGCAAAAGTTTTCAAGAGTATGTGCCACTGGGCTACTTCTGGTATATTTTAGGTAAGTTGAACCTGTGGCAATGTTTAGATCATTTGAGCATGTTCTTGGGGAAAAAAAAAAAATTCGGTATGCCAAGGCAAGCTTTACATGAATCACCTAACACAGCATTGCAGTGTGACAGTTTACAAAAACATTTCCTTTTTAAATGACACAGCTGTTCCCACTTGCAGTATATTCCATTGTGGTGGTGGTGGTGGTGCTGTTGTTTTAATTGGTGGTTTCTACTATGCCTTATAGTGCTTGAGTCCAGAAGTTTGTGTAAAAGCTAAAGGCAAAAACATCAAGACAGAAACCCTTTTAACTTTGCCAAAATTATGTGATTTCTTTGAATGTCATAAATGGGGGAGGAGGGAAGGAAAACGTCTTGGGAACCTGTGTATTCTAGATGTTCACTAGCACAAGAAAGCTGTAACATGAGTTTTACAGAAACCTTAAACTTGCCTTTTTCACAAATTAACTGGCGCTGTCCTTACATATATAGGATGATGCAGCTATAAGGGCAGTTTACTTTTTATAATTCAGACTCTTTTGATTGTCAAGGTGTATGGACTGTAATTTTTAATCATACTGCCACATTATTGTGAATCACTTTTTTAAGTTTGAAAGTGGAGAAGAGACTTTATGCTGGATACCAGTCAGAATTGACTGCATGATTTGCAAAAACTCTAAATGGGGGTAAAAGGGCTGCATGTGAAGACATTGCTAGACTCCCAGCCTTTGGTTGTCAGGTGCAGAAGACTTTCAGATTACTCAACCTCATGACCCTTTCCTTGTTACACATTCTTTACAAAAGAATGAAATATTAGGAGAAAGCAAAGACATGTTAACCCACATGAAAAAATAAAATTTACCCAATTAATTTATTATATGTGCTGCTGTTCTTGGAGCTCTGTGCATAGTTATCCTGCAGACTATTAGATTAGTGAACTAATGTTAATATGCACAGCATATCAACAAGGCCTACAAATGACCTACCTCTATCTAAGAGACCAGTAAAGTAAAGTAAATATGTTTTGGAGAGACCATCCTAAGTTAGGAAATTAAAATGTCCTGATGTAGGTAATTAATTATGGTATTTTAGAAATTCACACTTCTGTAAACATGGTCCCTCTTTTGACACAAACCATGAATTCTAAAATTTAGTATGCATTAAACAACTAAAGCCATCTGTCCCTGTCCAGTTTGTTAGTTTAGTAGAGATCGTGCAAAATCACACATTTAGTTTGAGAAGTACTGGTATTTCCTCTTTTTTGGCTTTTGGTTACCCATAACATTTTGAGTTTTACCAGTCAGACCAGAAACATTTCTACATGGTCAACAGTACATTGAGGGTCACTAGCTAGTTAAAGGGATTTTACTGTAAGTTTCACTAAAGCTTTTTCACAGTAGCCATGCTGCAGGAAAAAAAGGAATAGAGGGGGATTTTGAAGATAGTGTGAAAAATACAAAGCCAGATTGATCTTACTGTAAATCTGTTGATTTGGGGTTTTTTCTCTCAAAGTACGTCTAAGCTGAGGTCTGTTGCTGGATTCCTCATTTATCATGCTGCAGGAAATCCATATTTGATGATG